GAATTTCACAAGATCGATAATATCAATTATTTATGACACTGACCTCTGGGACGATGAACATTGTACCTAATTTATAACACCAAATTTCCCGGTGACAGTGTAAAAACGATAAATGTTAAACAGTTTCATGTTAATGTTAAATGCATAGTCAATTAAGATGTATGCTAGCACAGGTATCCTACAATGGTATTGCTTTTTGTTGACCTTGTCCAAAGGACCGGTGAGCTCATGGCAGGACGCAGCGGTCGTTAACGTCCTCTTTTTAAATCGTTGTAAGTCATATTTGGTATAAACCATCCTTGGGGAAGGAGAATTAATTTCGTATAATAAGTGTTGACCTCCAATTCACTCATGGAAGGGATTCAAAGATGTGTTATTGAGCAAATTGTTTGAAATAATATTTTTTCACTTGTATAAATGATTTGACATTGGTGTCCTTGTGTGATGGGAAATCATTTTTACATAAACGGTTATTCTGACCTCCTGGCGCAGAGGATAGGAGCGCGATAGTGAAAATCGTTTTTAAATCCTTTTTCTGTTGGATTCAAGTATTTTTAGCCACGGAGCCCGAGAAGAAGAAGAAATGGATAAAAGGAATCGATTCTTTGAATTCCGTCTTTTTTTTAAAAGTAATACACTTTTATTCGAACTTGGTCTGAACCGTCCTGTGATGACGGAAACTCAATTTTGTTTAAACGTTTGATCTCGCCCTTCTGTTGGCTTACAGCCGTGGCCCAACAGGGCAGATAAATATAATTAATGAAATCAATCTTTTACATTTGAAGAATTTGGACCATATTTCGTGTCAAATATAATAACTTTATGTAAACAACGCGTCTGTAAAAGGACATTGAACATTTAATCTAAAATATTTTTCCTTCGGCTTGGAAGATAAGGTTTTATCCAACACTAAATTCATCAGGTTTGAAGAAAATGTCACAGTATACCTACGAAAAAAAATGTCAATACAATCATAATCCAGTCTGATATTTAATCAAACTAAACCATGTACAAAAAGTAAAGAAACATCAACGAGGGAAAAAAGTACATGGAGAATAAGGTAATTTGTTCCGGACAAGTAGGCGTTTTCTGCTTCATTGACCAAACCCACCGTGTAAATATTGATCAATTCAAGTAAGTAATGTCATGTTCTCAAATAAAAACAAGGTATACAACGACGGAACCAACAGGCAAACTTACGAGCATCAGACATGTCAAGCTTCATACTCGTCTCGGGTAATATCGTCTTTGATAAGCACGTGAGGTTTGGTCAACATTCCTCGAAATGAACCAGCCAGAGTGCTCACATGGGTTTTCCAAAAGTAGTTATGTTGACATTGAGACGCAACTATGAAACTGAAACTTTGAATCGTTGAGGGACTTGTCGTGACCATTTTTTCTTTCAAATATGTATGCTATACAGTGGCTAAATCCACTGGATGTTTGCATATCTGTGACTAGAAAACGACAGATTTTTTTTGATAGTTTTAGAAATACTGTTTGAAGTATTCATTTCGAAACACCTTCAAAAGGTCATAATCCATTTGATATTTCGCTTTGTATAGACCTCACAGTATACCCAATATCCTGAACCTTTTGCAGATATTATCATTTGTGTACATATCACAAAGCTCTATACAAGGATTTGGTGAAGATAAAATGAATTTGGGTAAATATACTGAAAAGATATAGAAACGCAATAATACGCAACTTCTTCAGTTTAAAATATTTCGCACTGAATAAACATAGCAGTATAAAAAGTAAGAATATTCGGTCACCTCGCCTAATCCCCTGATAAATTTTGAAAATACGTCTCCTGTGATAAAATGAAACTATACCGTTTTACCTTGATTGTATTTTCCATTCAAATAATGACGATTTCCGAATATCACCAAGACATGAGGTTAGGTATTGGCATGATAACTGCTATCATTTCAGCATTAGGGTACCTGAATTCTTGACGGCCTAATGAAGTCTTCCTTGATTAAAAATATCAGAAACAATGAAGTTAGCTATTGCATTTCAAATGTAGGTTCATTGCGCATTAACAGTATTTCATTAAAACCGTAAATTTGAAGTTGCCTTTCTTTTTCCTCTACGTATGTAGGCGAGTGGATATTCACTGTTGTTACTTTGAACACTTTATCTCTATCAACTTGAAATAGCATTACGGTATTGAAGTGAATATAAGCTGTTATAAATGTGTTGTTTGACACTATTCAACTAATGGAATGAACCTTTTTCTTGGCTAAAAATTTACAGCTCTAACATGAAACACGGAATAGTTAATCTGCTGTCGCGTCTTCTATTTTACTTTGACTATTTGACAGAAAATAGCATTAAAGATGTGCAAGGTGGTATAACATATATATATATATAACAAAAACCTACTGGAATTTTTTATTGTTATCACACCATTAAAATATTGGACAAGCAAAAACATTGTTTGTGTGTTGTAGGTAGGAGAAGGAATTCGACATCTTCACATATGGATTACAATATGTATGCTGGTACATATAGGAAACGGAGGTAACATGTAGTCATATTCTTTGCAATTCTTTGTTGAAACAATAAGTATGAAAGCGTATTAACGCCTAAGCTCTGTCTTCATGTCTTCCAGATTTGTTTGTATGTGTTTCTATTTTCTTATATTAAACTTCACATTTTTTCAATGTTTGTATTTTTGTTCTTGCGTATGTGTTTTAAAAACGCTTTCTGCGTCTTTCGACTGTCATAATAAACCCCCATTGTATTGTCACACCATCATACCGCCACAATAATGTTAAAAACAATTTTGAAACATCGTTATAAAATTCCATTAAGAAATAGTTGCTGTATTCCATTGTACTCTATGACTTGTACATTACTCCTTTCCTCGGTGATTAAAACGAGTTTACAGACTAAAGTCAAAAACAGAAGCATGAAAATAGAAAAAAATACAGCATATATCGAACAAGTAAATATGTATGTACATTTGAAAACAGAAAGTAATAGTCTTCTATAATGTGAAAAAAACTATTTTCATTCGTAATACCTTAATGCTATATCAAGAGCTTGCTTTTAACTTTCGTATTGCTTGTTACTGGGTTCCTTGGCACATGGGAATACCAGGCAATGAAAAAACAGATCGTGCCGCAAAGGAAGCTTTATCGCTACCACCTGTTGTTTTTAATCTTCATTTGACCGATTTAAAACCATTTATTAAACACATTTTAAAAGCTTGGTGGCAGCAGGATTGGAATACATATACCAATAACAAATTGCACTCCGTTAAACCTGTTATCGATGAATGGTCTCCAGGCTATAGAGACAACCACCTTGACGAAGTTGTCTTTGTCCGTTTTCGTATTGGTCATGCACACCTTATACATTCATATATGTTGAAAGGCGAAGATAGTCCTCGGTTTATAGGATGTGATGAGCTATTCACCGTTAAACATTTTTTATTGGACTGCATTGACCTTCTGTCTACTCGAGAACGCTTTTATCGTAACATTATATGTCTAAAATCCTCTTTTTGAAGCTGTTGAGATTTGTAAAATTTTACATTACCTGAAAGATGTTGGTCTATATAATGGACTCCGACGTAGCATTTTAATCTTTTGTGTTAATATACCCATTTAAGATTATTAACATTTGTCTTTTACCTTTTGGTTTGTTTCATGTAATTTCCTTTTGTGTTTTACCGTTTGATGGCCCTAATGACCTTTTATGTGTTGACGGGCCGTAAAGAATGTAAGAATAATGATAACAATAATTAAACTGATATTTCGAAAGTATTAAGGCAATGGCATAAAGGAGCAATAGTTTATTTCTTTCAGATCATGACTGCGCCGACAATCTGATAACCGGACCCTTGGGGGTCAATGATTCCTCTCTGACAGCCTCCTCTTTTTATAACGACGGAGCTTGTTATCCTAGGTTTGCCAGAATTAGCCAGGACCTTATAACTTGTTGGTGCCCGGCCGTGTCTGATAAGTTGGAATATTTGCAGGTAAAATCAAAGCGGTTGATTATCTTGTTTATATTATCATGTATCAGTAGTAGTCAACTTCGATATCAATCTTGACTTTATGGTTGCACTTCAACGTAGTACGACAAAGTATATCATGTCTATCTATATTTTCAAAAATAATCTACACCAACATTTAATATTAATACGGAATGTAACTTCAAATAGTATTGTGTACATAAAGGAAATTCACATACGTATGCATCATAAGTAGTTGCATCGATGTACAGGTGTTTGGTACCAGTATATGTGTGTGTGTGTGTGTGTGTGTGTGTGTGTGTGAAGGAGAAGGGGTGAGGGGGGTATCTGTGTGTAAGCGAGAGTGTGATGAGTAAATGGGTGTATGAATATAAAAAGTGGTTACTATTTTGGAATTGTCATAATATATGCTACTAGTGCCCAAATGCATTTCTGTTCTTGTCTATTAATTACGTTATTTGGACTGATGACAAATATGTTATAATCTACCATGTAGTTACAAAATTCCAAATTTCAACAAAAGCAATTACCACGTGGCATTTCAAGATTAATTAGTAGGTATGTCTTGAAAAATGCACCTGCATCGCTCATTCTAATAACTACGTTTCAGTTAAGCCTTCATGCCTTTATCAGCGTGAAGAGCCGACCTGTATATATATATGTACTGCTTTCTCTATACTACTGATATCTTTCATTCTGTAATTAATTACTAAAAATGTTTGAATCAGTTTCTCGTTCACACGATAGAGGGGAGATAACTCGTCTTTTATCAGATTAAGATTTCAGTTCGAGTTGCAGTGAATGTGTGATAAATATGTAATATGTTTTATTTGTATTCATTTGTCTACCATGGGGAGATGGCTTTTATAGGCTTCAGCATGTTGCCTAATGTCCTTTAACTTTTTTCAGTAAATCTTTGTGAAATAGCAATACCATGTCTAAATGTAACGATGTTGTGATTTCACAAAAAATAAGTTGTCCTCCTTAATGTTTATGTGTTATTGATTTGATGGCACAGGTGGAATTCCGGCACACCTCTGCGGTGACAGCTCTCATCACTCAAGGAAGAGGTGAAGGGCATCAATATTTGAAGTCCCTAACAATGAAAACAAGTCTTGACGGATCCAACTGGGAAACTGTCACTGATGAGTCAGGAAACATAAAGGTACATGTTATACATAGCTAGTTAGATGCCATCTGTATAAAGCGAACAACTTCGTAACAAATATAGGGCAGACAAGAATTTTCTTAAAGTCTGTCATTGTTGAAAAAAAAATTATTTTCCGATAGAATTGAATAGAGTGCAAACGGACCTTTTTTTCTCTATATATCTTAATGCATACTGTATTCAAAATAATTAAAAAAAATATCTAATTAGATAACTAATGAACGAAATGCTTTTATGTTCGATCTCGTCAGAATGACTGGGTAACCTGTTTATTAGGCAGCTATATTTTACCTTCGAATACCTTAATGCATAAAACACGTATGAATTATAAGAACAAGGCAGCGAGAAGGCCTTTACGGATGAAAACTACGACAGAATCTGCAACAAAGGAGAGAAACTTTGTTAGAAAAGCATTGTCGGCCAGATTTGTATGTTATAATAACACCATTTATTTACATGTACTATACACAAAACATCAAGTAAATTCAAACATGGAAACATTATCATAAATCAAACACGAATTCCATCAAGTAAAATACAAACAGAAGAAAGTAGGATACCTGGGGTAACCCAAGCAGCATGACTATTCCGTCTAATCGTTCCTAGGAAATGGGATATTGTTGTGGAACGCGAACATTATGATTTTATATTTAGTCGAGATTGACAATGATGGCAGGCAGCCGATGTGGCGACGTCGGAAAGAACGCTTCAAATGCTTCAGTGTAGCCCAGCGTAGCAGATTTAGTGAGGGAAGTATGATCACTTGTGGCAGCATACCTGGTGGAAATCGAATTTGATTTCACAATGTCAATGGACATTTGAATGCAGTTTGGTATCGGAACAAAATCTCAAATCCTGGTCTCTCTTTAAAGCGTTTAGGAGCACGATCCATTTTGCAGCATGATAATGTGACATTCTACAAGTCAAGTAGGCTAGGGCGTTCTTACAGCATAACATTGTCCAACTTCTCGATTGGCCTGCAAAATCCCTGCTCTAAACCTAATAGAGCACATATGGGAAGTTCTTGTATGGTGTTGGCTAATCCGCCCGACAACTTACAGGAATTTGGCATGTTATAAGGAGTGGAACGCCACCCGGCTCACACCATTCAACTATGCGCTGGCGTTGTAAAGCTGTGGTCCAGGCCAATGGTGTTCACGCAAACTATTGATCCTGACAAAAAAAAAAAAAAAAAGAAAACGAAAAACGAACCATAACGGACTTTGGTCGATATTTCAACGTCAATAAGCAGGCGTCCCACTTAATCATTTGAATACCAATTGCAATATTTGATTAAAACGTGGCATAACTACCTGACTTCAACTCATTCATTTACCAAGTATGTTAATTTAGCTAGATATAGGTTCTTTCGGACAGTTTATTAATCTTTACGTTCATACTTGTATCTGTGAGATATCTACCAAGAAGCAATTAAGTTTGGTGTGTTAAATACATTGAAGAATGCCCGTTAAATGCGTTGTTATGGATACAGTTGAAGTTTTTAAAAAATATTATTGGCCTAGATCTGCATGGCGTGTGCCCTCTCTTCTGGAACACCTGGTCTTGTATTACATGACTTTTACATGGTCAACATCCCATTGATATCCCTTCATTTTTTCCATCTCCATTAGCTGACATTATAGTTCATAATAGTTGGCATTTCAACAATTATGTCCACAGGTTTATGAAGCAAACAACGACGGTACAACACTTGTGAATCGAACTGTGAATGAGAAGATCCTGGCAAAATTCATTCGCATCCATCCAGAAACTTGGTATGATTGGCCATCCTTTAGTATGGAGATTCTTGGGTGTCCAAAATGTATGTAATTTTTACCATTTTTATTCGTTTTAAATTCGTTGTTGATTCCTAGGAACAGGTTGGCAAAACTGCGTTTTCGCCCTACATGGCCAAACTAGTAGGCATTGAAGATTTTGATTAGGATTATGTACGATATCAAATATTACTCAATGATTGGACTTGATGATAAATCGACCCATCGATGTATTGGCTGAAAACCTAGGTGTATGTCTTTCACATATTAAACAGAATTTTTGAAACAATGAACATTCATATTGGAAATAAAAAGTTAACAATAATGAGATTGAACTTTCCGCTCTTTTACAAAACGATAGAAATTCCACCCTGACTCATGAATTCACCTGAAGTTGACTTTTCACTTCATGAATTGGTTAAATCAGACACAGACAGTTACACATTTCGTTCATTCTTCTCGATTTTGCAGTTAGGATATGAAACATTTCTACATGTATATACTGATGGTTCAAAAGATAATGATAAGGTTGCTCGGCAGAAGCGCGGGCTATCTACCTCGCCCTTGAATATATTCAAAGAAACAAAGTAATGAGAGTTGTTATCCATTCAGACTATCTTTCGGTTCTACAAAGTCTTAGGAAACGAAATATCGAAAATATTACATTCGTTATACCTTAATACTATATTATGAACTTTTGTATTGCTTTTTGCATGGTTTCGGGCAAATGGGAATACCAGGCAATGAAAAAGCAGATTGTGCCGCAAAGGAAGCTTTATCGCTACCACCTGTTGTTTTTAAACTTCATTTTACCGATTTTAAACCACTTATTAAACAAATGTTAAAAGCTCAGTGGCAGGAGGAATGGAATACCTATACCAAAAACATATTGCACTCCGTTCAACCCGTTATCGGTGAAAGGTCTCCAGGCTATAGAGACAACCACCGAGACGAAGTTGTCCTTGACCGTCTTCGGATGGGACATACATACCTTACACATTCATATATGTTGAAAGGCGAAGATAATCCTTTGTGGATAGGATGTGATGAGCCATTTTGTTATTGCACTGCCTTGACCTTCTATCTATTCGAGAACGTTTTTATCGTAACATTACATGTCTAAAATCCCTTTTTGAAAATGTTGAGATTTGTAAAATTTTACATTACCTGAAAGATGTTGGTCTATATAATGGACTATGACGTAGAATTTTGATTTTTTGTGATAACATGCCGACTTAAGATTTTTAAAATTTATCTTTTACCTTTTGGTTTGTTAAATGTAATTTCCGTTTGGATCGTTGTGTGTTTTACCGTTTGATGGCCCTAATGACTTTTTATGTGTTGGCGGGCCTTTAAAAATGTAATAATAATAATAATAATAATAATTGTCGTTTTTCATAAGATTCACGTAGGACCTGCTGGATTGGGAAAGCTGGTGTTACGACCGAAGACCTTCCTGTACTTCACCAGACGTTCGCTCTAAACAATGGGATATGTGGGGAAGAGTGCCACAAATACCAGTCGTGTGGTAGTTTTATGTTTGACTTCGATAATGGAGAATGTCACCTATACTCCATTCAGACATTCAACGTTACGACAACTCGGTCAGCCTCTCTGGGAAGAAAAGTTTATTTCGTGAATAAACCTGATTGTATTCTTTGATTTCAACTTTTGTTCAAGGGCATTGTCAACGGATGTGTTTTCATGGTGAAAATAGCCTACGGTTATAAGTTCAAAAAATATTTGGAAACGGAAATGTTTCCATGATGTCTTTAAGTATGTTAAAAAATGCGACAAGGTCGTTGCACTACTATAGGTCAGTACCAATGGATGACATCAGTGTGGCTAGTACGATCTCTGCTGTAACGTGCGTGTTGACAGGATTTCATTCATTGAATAAGTTCGAATAAAAGTGAGGCCACGTTAGAAATCAAATGTGGATATTGTCTCCCAACATTATATCATTATTATATTAAATATTTCGGTCTACCTTTTTGTTCTTTGCTTTGTCGTATATTTAAAGGTCGTAATATTACTCAATAATGAGTACCTACATTTAAAAGTGATGTTTGACCAACTGAGGTCTCTCCATCATTAAATTTCCAACCAGTCGCATATCAAACTCGAGATTGATGTTAACAACGACTTGATCAAATTTCATTGGTTTGTTATAGATTGATGTATTCTCCCTTTTCACTTTTCAATTCTTTTCAATTTTCCTATTTCTAAGAACTGTCTTTTTTGTTTCTATACTAGATTGAATTTATCGAAGATATTATCAAAACAGCTCACAAAGACATTTGCTTTCCGATATATTGATGACCTCATTAACAAGATATTTATTGACAATGTCTATCGAATATACAAACTAGGATGGGAAACAAAGTACAAGACAAGTTCTGCTTCGTCAGTCGTTTTTCTCGATCATCCACAACGAAACTATCATAACAAGTGTGGTGATTTCATTTCTCTGTTGTTAGTTTTCCATTTATTGATCACACCATAGTTTATGGGTGCAGCAGTGTTGCTAACATGTCGCAGTTGATTCGAAGTGAATGAAGATATCGTGAATAATAATTAAGACATATATTGTAGAGGTTAGATACTCATAGGTCTGAGTCCTAATTGCTATACGTTCACTTACTACACTCCTCATAACCTAAATGATAATAAAGGGAAGAAAAAAAGCAAGGATAGGAGAGAAGAGAAACTGGTCTTCTTCGGGATATCCAGCCAATTTTGCCTTCTCTTGGTTCACCAGGAGGTAGGTCTTGTGATATTATTAATTTTCGAACACGACAAGCAATAACATATAACAGGCCTACTTTATTCGGCTATCCAAAATTTCTTACACTTGGTGAACCTGTGTTGCTGGATATCGGTGGCTGTTGTCGCATGTACACGGCCTATATGATTCCTGACTGGTGAAAATGTTATCAATATCTATCACCGCATTTTATAATGCTGTCCATAGAAGTGTGTGAGAAGCGTGTGTCTGTTGGGTCATATTTGCGTGTGCAACTGGGAATGGAGTTACATTCTGAATTTGAATTCTGAAATTTTTGGCGGTTTTACTTAACACATCAACACCAAAGCTAAGGCTATATCATTTTAGTTATCATTTTAAACTCTTTAATATTTTGGGCTCAATAAACAATTTTAAGTTGATTGTTATGTATCAATATTGTGTATTAATCTAAATTAAGATGTGCTGTGTTTACATGCATTGTATCATATTGATTGTTTACATAAAAACCTGTTGATACTTATTTATCATAATATGTGTAGATAGTGCTAGGCAGATTTTTCTAGAAAGCTCTGTTACTAGAATGACCTGTGTGTTTCCGGAAGTTTCTAAATCTAGAAAGTTCGGTTATTAGAATTACCTGGGTGTTTACAGAAGTTTCTAGAGACACAAGTATTAACGCCTTGAGTAAGGTTACTTTGAGACTTCAGTCTGTGAAGTGTGGACTTTTACGGTGATTCAGTGATAGTGCCTTGTGGACTAGCACTTATATATACCAAACGTGGAAACAATTCTTGGATTAGTCTTCGGATAATCTGTCTTCGGGACAATCGTTTGTGAATTATGCTGGATTTTGAGGACTTCCATCACAAGATAAGTTCTGACTTTTGATTAATTAGTGGCTAGCTCTGTACACCATCGCAATATTTGTAACTTTACTGTAGAATTTATTTGTTGTTATTAAATTGTTGAATTGTAAACCTAGCTGTTGGGTTTCATTTGTTGTACGTTAATTCCGTAACGTAACAACGTTCACGTTTGTAAACAAGTGCGTGCGTATGATGGTTGAATGTGGTGAGCGGTGTGAACGGAATGCACGGGCGGACCGGAGTCCTGTCACGTCCCCAACCCAACACTCACCAGGCATTCCTCTCCTGATCACTGAGGAGATCACGTCCAAGTCCAAGCCACATCTTCATGTATGTCTGTTCCCTGGTGTTACCATGATATATTAAATCATTTACTACAAGACGTTTGGTTATTATTGAAACTACCAAATGTCTATATGTTTGTTTGACAACATTTCAATTGTAAAACAAGCATTTGCATTT